GAGGATACAAATATTATGGTCTGCATACAGTTCCCCACTTGCGCCAGGGTTCCCCTGGATATGGTAGTTCACTGTCACGTTTTAAGGGAGCCTTTTCTTAGTTTCTTTCACAGGACACACACATGTTGGATTTCATTCTGCAAATATGATTTCCGCCGTTGCCGGTCCCATGTCCGGATAAGAAAGAAGGAGGGTTTGAGACGGTAGCAAGGTCTCCGTAAAACTTAATGAGCTGTCCCTCTTGGCATTGCCCTCATCGTAGATGATGCGGGCTCGGCCATTCCCGAGTTACCAAAGGCCGCGCAGGCTATTTTGGGACTGAGGCAGGCAGCGGATAGTCGGTGATCAGAACATCCTCGCCACCTTCCGGCAGCCGCAGCCATTGCAGAATCACAACGGCTCTCGAGAGCCACAAAACCCTAAAAAATCACGACGACGCTACCAGTCAGCAACAGAGCCGCTAACCGTTCTGAACGACAACACCTTGAGTGCAATGAGAAGACTAGATGGGTCTGCGCGATGCCATTATAGCAGATCAGATAAGCCTTCAGAGCAACGATACTGACAGTGGGAGCTTACAGTCGGAAATTGGAACACGTCTTCACTCAGAGAGAAAGACCAGGAGCTATTTGATGAGGCCGTATGGTACCAACTCGGCATCGTTGAACTCTCGTCAGCGAAGCGCTAAGGCTCTGAAATTCTGAACCTCTGCGGGTGGAAGCTATTTTACTCAGGTGTCCATATCACGATACGCGCTCAGTCCAATGTTGGTGCATCAGTAAAGCCCATCCTGGTTAGCAGAATCATTGATTTGAAGCCTGTCAGCGGAAGAGTGGCAGTCCTCTGACTGAAGCTACTACCAGTGCGTCGACCTTATTGCAAGTCTATGCGCCTAGTTTGGAGGAAGAATATGAGCCATTCCTTGAAGAAGTGGAAGGTTCTCCGTACGAAATGTCGACTACGAAATCCCTCATTCCAGTGGGTAATTTCAGTGCGTATGTCTGAGCAGACACTAATAACTGGAAAGATGTGATTGGAAAGAACGAACTTAGTGACCTCAGCAATAACGGCAGGAAGATGTTGCAGTTTTGGGCAAACAACGGACTGTCTGACTTAAGGCGTTCTTTAATGAATGTTCACGTTAAGAGAGGCGCGGAGCTCTCAGCTGATCACCTCCTTATTGCCAAAACCCTTCGCTGTAAACGATGGAATACCCTGACAAGACCTCATGGCAGATGCAACAAGAGAGTCAAATGGGAAGCACCCTCTCAGAATATGAGACAAAACTCGCAAGCAACATTGCACGGCGATTTCAAAAAATCCCGATGATGACCGATAATGCGGAAACCGAGTGGAAGCTGTTTAACAGCGGCATACTCGGGGCTGCCG